ATCTTTCCCAACACTCATTCAGTGTCTCCTTTTCTAATGATACCTCCTCCCCTCATCCTGTTTCGGTTGGAGTCCCCCCCAAGGCTCTGTCCTTGGTCCCCTTCTATTTTCTCTTTATACTGCCTCTTTTGGCAAACTTATTGCATCTTTTGGATTCCACTACCACCAGAATGCTGATGACACCCAGATATTGTTACTTATTCATCCGCTCATAAAAATGTGATTAATGGAATTTACTGTTCAGACAGGAAAAGTTGTGCTGAGGTGCAATCAAATCCACAGGAGGGTTTGTGCTGAGCAGCAATTATGCAAATGGGAACCTGGTAAGAGCCTATCAGATCCACAGGAGGGCTATTTAGGCCCAGTTCTCATCCTGCTCAGTGCCCTGTCGTCGTTTCCCTTGTGGTTGTCCGAGAGCGCGTTATTGATTCTGGTAATTCTGGTTATTTGACTTTGGCATTGTTTTTGACTTCCCTGTTTTCTAGCATCCCTGACCCCTGGCTTTTCCTTATCGTTGTGGCTCTTTCTGTATCCCTTGACCTCGGCTATTCCTGACTATTCTTTGGAACCTTAGTCCGGCCATTCTAAAGGTCCGGTATACGTTACACAATTCTACGTATTGAATCATACTGTAATCCTGACAGATCTATCTCTCCTCCCCGAACCTCTCCCCTGCCGTCCAGCAATGTGTCACTGCTTGCCTTTCTTCCATCTCTCAATGGATGTCCTCCCGCTTTATGAAACTCAATCTCTCTAAAACTAAACACCTTGTCTTTCCTCCTCCTAATACTGATCCTCCTCTCTCGCTCTCCCTTCAAGTTAGCGGTATCCGCATAAGTCCATTTGTGGCATCATACTTGACTCTGGCCTCACCTTTGAGCCTCACATCCAGTATGTTGCCAAATCTTGTAGATTCCAACTTAAAAACATAGCCCACACCCGCCCCTTTCTTACGAAAGATGCTACCAAGGAGCTTGTCCATGCTCTAGTAATTCCCCGCATGGATTATTGTAACCCTCTCCTAATTGGTCTTCCCAAAAGCCGTATTGCCCTGCTACAATCTGTAATGAATCCATTGTAAAATGAAATAAAGAAAAATAAGGGGGGGACACTTTTTACACAAAAAAAGTGGTTTAGGGGTCTAAAGTGTCCCTTTAATTGATGCTGCTTAGTCAGTTTTATAAAGTGCTGGACTGGAGACAGGGAAGTAACAGAGAACAGAGTCTGGTAGGTATATAACCTGGTAGCCACTATTAGATCAAATGGACAAGGTAGAATGAAGACAAATTAGAAGATGTAAGATCATGACACTTGGGTGAGTGAGAAATGCAACGACTGCATTCAAAAAGGGTTCTGCTGGTACGGTTAGTGATATTTAAGGGCTACGAATGCTGCAGCATTTTGGTTTGGGGGCTGTGTTGGTGTCGGGTTAAATAAACTTATCCACGCCTATGGTTTAGTACAACCTCATGTAAATAAAAGCATACACATACATATATTCACCAGAAATTGTTTGTAGATGAATATACCCAGAGACAGAGATAAACAATCTAAGAGTAGTATATATATTAAAGTTGGAATAATATATTTCTATTGACAGCTCACTCACACTTTCAAGAGCTATATAGAGCTCTGCTGTTGAAAGCGTGGGCGGTATAATCCCCGTCTAAGGATGTAAATATTTCAGTGGTGATGGTGCAATCAGCAGTGATAATGGTGCTTTTCTTTAGTTGATTGTGATATGAAAAGACATAGACAAGAACATTCAGTAGTGTAATATGTTTAGTACTATATGTATCTTGAAAAAAAAGTAAAAAGGTATCTCACTCACATTTTTCAGAGCATGAACCTGCTCTAGTATGATGGAGCTTTAGTGGTATGATCCCCACTTTGGATATGCAGGTCCAGAATTGCAGTAAAATCCAGGAAACCAAAAGGAGTATAAAGTAAATACCAAATAAATAATACAATTTACAGGATTAAATTTTGTTTAACAAATAAAAAGGTATATATAAAATATATATTTAAAATCCAAAAACGGTAGAGGCATAGAAGGGTAGAAGAGCTACTGTAGAAAATTGCTGAAAAACGATGTTCTGCAGGGAAACTTTGGTTTCTGACATTCATGTGGATGTTATTCTGACATGTACAACCTACCTCAAGATTGTTGCAGACCACATACACCCCTTCATGGCAATGGTGTTCTGTGTTGGCAGTGGCCTCTTTCAGCAGGATAATGCACCCTGCCACACTGCAATAATTATTCAGGAATGGTTTGAGGAACCTGACAAAGAGTTCAAGGTGTTGCCTTAGCCTTCACATTTCCCAAATCTCAATCTGAATGAGCACCTGTGGATGTGCTGGAACAACAAATCTGACCCAACTTGCAGGACCTAAAGGACCTGTTGCTAATGTCTTGGTGCCAGACACCACAGGACACGTTCAGAGGTCTTGTAGAGTCCATGCCTTGACACATCAGAGCCGTTTTGGTATCACGAGGGGGCTCTAAATGATTTTATGCTGGTGGTTTTAATGTTGTGGATGATCAGTGTAGATTATGGTATCTAGCTACAAAGTGCGTGGACAGCAACTCCCATGATTTGTATACAGTCAAACCCTAGTCCTAGAACCTTTAAAGGTAGTAATAGTACACAGTGGAGCAGAAGAAGACCCTTCTGACATGTCCCATTGAAGAGTGGTGGGTTAAATGGCAGGGACAACTAGGATTTCATTTGAGGAATGGGTTAATTGGTATGGCAACACCATCATGTAAATTGTGACTGGCACTGGAAGACACGTGATATAGACTATAGAAGGGAGGTATTTGAAAGTAAGACTATACATTTAGAGGGATCTAAATTGCAAGTGGATTGTGTAATCCTTTTGTTTTTTTTGGGGTGGGGGCTTAGGTAATTCTTTGCTTCCAAGTATGTGAGCAGTAAATCAAACCCTTCCAGTATGACTGAACATCTCCAGAGAGCCAGCTCTGCCAAGCAGAGTCCACACTGCCCTGGAGCCCAGTCTGTTGATGGCCCAAACCAATAGTGAGTGATGGAAACCCACAGCCAGGGTACTTGGACCTAGTGAATAAGATCCGACTTGCGAGCCGTATGTTTGACACGTCCTGCAGTAACACTAAGGCAGGTACACAGTAATCAAAGGTCCCCCACAATGCCAATATAATAATTCTTATCACTGCAAATGCGTTGACAGCAACATCCTTTGCAATGCAGTGGCATGATAACATCACTATAACAATAAGAATTGATCGAAATTATTAAAATGTATCACATGGGTAGGTAAATTAGTGCATGTAATAATAGTGCCATAGTGCAAACAGATAATGCAGATTAGGGGAGATAGATAAGATATGTAGTGCATGCCATATGACAGTACTGATATAGGTTGTCAGCCTTATTTGGATTACAGTTTATATTTCTGGACGGGTAACAATTTAGTGGATTTCAGTTCATCGGATACTTGAAAGCAAAGTCTGTATCTCTCCGACTGTCCTGACCTCATTTCTCAACTCCATTTGTGCAATTGCAAACAATGGCTGCGGATGATATTACTGTTTGGTTGGCAAAGCCTTTCAAGCATGCCACTGTGACAGATTCTTGTTTGAAAACAAAACAAACAAAAAAAATCTTTGGGACACAGCAGTTCACAGAACATGCTCTTCTTCAGCTGAGATTTTTGTGAGAGCACTTTGTGTTTTCTGCCTATTTCTGCAAATACGAATTCCAAGCACAACGATACACCAACAGGTTTATTCACTAAATTGAGAATTCAAAGTGAATTTTAAATTTAAGGTCAAAATAGCCAAATCTGGAAAAAAACGCTCAAAGTCAGCTATGTTTTCAGTTCGACTTAACTTTGAAATTTGCTTTGAATTTTTACTTTAGTAAGTAGCTGTGTGGGTGTGCAAAGTGTCGATCCTGTCCGTTGCACAATCACATCTCATTTATACCCTCACTTCATGTTCATTACACCTTGTCCTTCACTCCTTCATTTATATGTCCCATTCCTTAATCTCATACTCTCTGCTTCTTGTGGCTTTATATATTCTCTCACTCATTTCCATCCCGTCCATCACTTCCCAGTCTAGATTGAATTCCGTTCTCCCCGTTTTTATCCCGCTGTCGCTATTTTCTATATAAATCCCATCCATCACTTTCTTTGTCACGCTCTGTAGATCCCCTTTCTTTCTCTCTGCATCTAATCCCATCCTTTTTACACAGTCCTCACTCTTATGGTTACATATCCCTTCCCTTTCCACTTTCCGTATTTTACCAATACGCTTTCCCCCCCAATATTACGTAGTGCTTTCCCTGGATCACAAACATTCTATGGATTTTGAACCCCATCCCAGGTCCTCAATCTCTCTGTACCCCATGCCTACTCTCTGCATCCAATCTCTGCTCCTCGATGATGACATTTCTATCCTTTAGTACATTATTTCCTACAAAAAAAATAAAAAAATTTTATCTTAATTTGTCGATTGTAAAATGTCATATATCCTAGAAACCTTACTAAAGGGATATACATACTTTTGGTTAAATTTGCTTATAAGTTTTTAATTGTCAGATATCAATCCCTATGTTAACGTAGACGCCTAGGGGTTAAAAAAATAATAATAATACATTAATACTTCAATTTACTTTTTTTTTTTAAATTAAAAATAAATCTCATTTTAATTCCACCTAGAGCCTTGAAGTTAGTGCGTTTGTGGCATACGTTAAGGGGGTTTGATGTCACAAAACAATAATTACAACCCCTGCCTTGTCCCTCACTCACTGCTGTTCCTCAATTATTCTGTCCTTGAATTTTATATTCCATTCTTAGCACTCTGACTATATCTTATGGTCTTGTACATTGCTTCTCTTCCCCTTTCTCTTTATTCCCCACCTCTCAGTAATGCGATTCAAAGCACCATTCATTTCCACCTCATTAAATCTCTTCTGAAACTTTCTCTCTTCCCCACCTCCCTCCTCACATCCCACTGTATTTCATCTTCACCGACTGCCCTCCAATCACCGCAGCTCAATCCACTCTTCTCTCTTCGGGCTGCAAAATAAAAAAAACAAAACACAAAACATATTCTTTTCATTCATTTGAAGCTAAAGAGATTGTTTTGTTTAGCGATCGGAAGTGAGAAATTATCTGTTTTAGCAGAGGGTCACTGCTCTCCTAATGCCGGGAGGTCTTAATCTGATCAAGAAAAAGCTCTTAAAAGTGAGAACCACATTGTCATATTCTGTCACTCGCTGCCGAAGACACAAACGTTTGCTCATTGCTTCATACTTAAGGCAACAAGCGAAGTCAGCAATTTCCATCCTGTCATTTTATGGTGACATCCTTTGAGGGTCTACCACCTGTAACGGTAAGAAAAAAAAAAAAAACAACATTCAGGACACTTTGTAAAAAAAACTTTTTTGAACTTTTTTTTATTGCATTGATACAGTGATTTGAGACTGGATGTCGTTTTCACTTTGTGATGGCAAATCTTTATATTTTCCTAAAGGTTGGAAATGTTATCCAGAGCATGGACGTTGACAGTTTATAAAGAATCAATATTAATCAATATAAATAAGCACTAGCATACTTGAGACGGTACAATGAGTGAAAAAAACTAAATAATTTTATCAGGACAAAATTTGATATACAAAATATTGTGAAGACCCAAATTAAATCAAGCATTGGGTATTGTGACTTACTTAGAGGAAAAAGGGTAACATGGGTTAATAAAGACTGGGTTAGCGTTCAGAAGTTAACTGGCTAGTTAATACGCCTACCAAAAGAAGTAGGTTTTTTAAAGAATTTGTTAGGGGACGGAACCCCATTGAAAATAAATTTGGCAAGTTAATAAACTGATAAGAACATTGCAGACTTAGAATAAAAGTCTAAGAAGAAGAGAGTTTGATGTGTGAGTGAGTATTGTGAATCGACGCAAGTCAGAGGGGCTGGGATCGGACATATTTGTTTATTACATAAGATAGGTAGATGGCTGTGCAATAGTGGAAAACTTTTGACAGGATTATTAAGAAGGTGGTACTTGGAGACTTCCTTACTACTAGGTTTATAAATTTATTTCACACAGTTACGTTAGACACAGTGAAATAACAGTTACAATTCATTTTTAAATCTCTTGAGAGAAGTCAAAACATGACATTCCTTTGACATAAATAATAATAATAATAAAAAAATAATAATAATAAATATATTTTTTTTTATTTAAAAAAAAATATTAAAATTGATGTTTTAAGAAAATGACCTGCTGAGGGTCGAAACATCGATTGTGATACAGATGTAAACTTTTTTTCTGCCACATTAACCACGAGTCAATTTACAAGTCCTGCGGGCGCACTCTTTATCCTAATTGTTGGAAGAATATTAACAATCGGATATCAATGCTAACTCAGAGTTTTTAGTTGTTTTCAGTATATTAGGTTTAAATTTATTATTGGATAGGTTTTCTAAACAGCTCTACAAAGTGTAAGGTGAAAAGCTTAGATGAGATACAAAATTATAAATATTTATAAAAAGGTAATAAATAACATTTTATTTAAAAATAAAATAAATGGAGATAGAAAAGTGTCCTGGTACGGAATGCAGCATATTAAAAGCCCAGGCAGCTAATCATAGCTCTTGGTAGTGGATGCAGCATATTATAGCCCAGGCAGCTAACCATAGGTCTTGGTAGAGGATGCAGCATATTATAGTCCAGGCAGCTAATCATAGGTCTTGGTAGAGGATGCAGCATATTATAGCCCAGGCAGCTAATCATAGGTCTTGGTAGAGGATGCAGCATATTATAGCCCAGGCAGCTAATCATAGGTCTTGGTAGAGGATGCAGCGTATTATAGCCCAGGCAGCTAATCATAGGTCTTGGTAGAGGATGCAGCATATTATAGCCCAGGCAGCTAATCATAGGTAGAAGATGCAGCATGTTAATGCACAAAGAGCTGTTAGAAGATGCAACGCATTGACTCAGAGTTACTCATTAAACCGTGAAGTGTCAGTAATTCACCAAGGAATTGCAACTTTTAGGCTAAAAGAGACAAATCTGAATATTCTCCAAATCAGCTATGCTTCCAGGTCAGGTATTTGGATATTATCGAACATTCAAAGTTCAGTGAATCCTGCCAGACTGAGTATCTCAGACCTTGTTATGGGCTGCAGTTTTGTTAGTGTTCACACTGTTAATTGTAGCATCCTGCAACCTCTGCCAAAAGACTAACACCAGATTCCTATTCACGGGCCATAGTAGGGGCCGCAGCATAACAACATACCACACTGTTAAACATGAGATTTGGACGGGGCAGCATGGTTTTAAATCCAGAATATAGAGAATAGATCTTGGAAGGGGCCGCAATATAAATTCCGTTTTCAATCTGTTCTGACTCTCTTGCGATGCAATGATGTTCAAAATTATCAAAATGCCGCTGGAGCCATACATGCCACTTTTTGCCCTCTCTCTCTCAATGGATGACCGGCTCCCTTTAAACAGAAAAAAACTACTAGTCTTTTATTTCTCAAATGTAACCTCTGTCAATCTTTCTTCATCCCTACCCTTCATGTCTTGAGCCCTTTCAACACTTCCAGTCAATCTCCGAATTGCATCATTCTCATCTTAAAAATATAGCTTAATTTATCCTAAGAGGAAGCAGTCAAAAACACCCTTTCGTGTTTGGATTATCTCTTCCCAATTAGAGCAATGCACTCTTTAAATTATCTTAGGTGTGTCCAGATTACTAACTCATAGTCCAGAAAGAATGCCACTGCCAGATTTATCTTCCTTAACTCAATTGTCTGTAAAGCTCTCTAGAACTGTGCCCAATCACATATAATCACATACAAAGCATGATGGCTCAGTTTGGTCTGCGACGAACTGCTGTCTGCCCTCTGCTAACACTTTGCACATTTATAGAATAGTTTAATAAACGCAAAGGCTAGCTTAGAGAAATATATGGAATACAAATACAAAAAACAAGTCCTATGCTATTTTATCTGTGTATTCACTTTTTGTATCACACAGCTGTTGTGTTACAATGCTGCCGCCCATCCCATGTGTTCCCTATTAACGGTTAATAAGTACATAAGTGTATATAAAAAAAATACCCCTTTCTGTCTCATTAGAGATGTCTTTGCCAGAGGCTCAAGGAAGCAATGTGAAAGGTCAGTGTAGGAACCCAACTGAGGGGGTCTGCCATGACGTTGGCTGGCGGGCAATCCTTCCAATGGCCATTGGAGAAACTAAATTACCTCCATTTGTTTAAATATACATAGGGATTTAGGAGAGAGCACAGGTAACTTGTTTTGTTTTTAGAGAAATATATTGGCTACTATTTTAATTCTTCATTTTACAGTACTCCAACCCCATTGTCACTCCCCGATACGTTTTAAGAACCCCATTCAATCTTCTTCTACAGGAGTACATGTAACACACATATGTACACCATATATGATATCCGTATAACGAGCAATCAACCTGCTCGGTGGTTTTTAGGATCTATCCAATTATTCCAGTTTCCTTTTAGAACATAGATTCCTCATAACCGCTTGTTCCAGTGTGCAAATAGGTGTATGTGTTCTTTCGCTGCTGTACAGCTTTTTTTGGAAGAGGTTGATGTAATATGGAGAATATTAACAAATAGCACTCAGATATGTAATAACTGGCTTTGTTATGGCATGTTATATACTAGCTAACAGTATATTTATTGATTAAAATTATATAAATAAATATATTTATAGATTAGCTATAGCCCAAGTCTTATTTAGTAGTGGTATATAATATGATGGACTGGGAGCTAGGTAGCATGCATATAATAAAATGAGATCCAATGGGCTTAGAAAGCATTTAACAAACAATTTCGCTGGGAAGGGTTTAATGGGTGCAAAATACACTGAGATTATCTGGGTTTAGATTTAACAAGTTTATAATACACTGAGATTATCTGGGTTTAGATTGAACAAGTTTATAATACACTGAGATTATCTGGGTTTAGATTGAACAAGTTTATAATACACTGAGATTATCTGGGTTTAGATTTCACAAGTTTATAATACACTGAGATTATCTGGGTTTAGATTGAACAAGTTTATAATACACTGAGATTATCTGGGTTTAGATTTAACAAGTTTATAATACACTGAGATTATCTGGGTTTAGATTTAACAAGTTTATAATACACTGAGATTATCTGGGTTTAGATTGAACAAGTTTATAATACACTGAGATTATCTGGGTTTAGATTGAACATGTGTATTTTTTCTTCTGATATTAGCTGGGCCTGGAGTTATTTAACAGGTATTTCACACACTGAGATTTGCTGGGAGTTATTTAGCAGGTGTATAAAAAACAGATTATCTGGGCCAGGAGTGTGTAATAAACTGAAATTATCTGGGCTGAGTAGGTAATAAACTGAGATTAGCTAGGATGAGTAGGTAATAAACTGAGATTAGCTAGGATGAGTAGGTAATAAACTGAGATTAGCTAGGATGAGTAGGTAATAAACTGAGATTAGCTAGGATGAGTAGGTAATAAACTGAGATTAGCTAGGCTGGAAGTTATTTAGCAGGTGTAGAATACATTGATATTAGCTGGTTTGTGAATGTATAATAAACTAATAGCTGGTCTGGTAGTGTATAATATACTGAAATGACCTGGTATGGCAATGTATAATAAACTGAGATTAGCTGGTCTGGCAGTGTATAATAAACCTAAATTAGCTGGTCTGGCAGTGTATAATATACAAAGATTAGTTCGTCTGGCAGTGTACAATATACAGAGATTAGCTGATCTGACAGTGTATGATAAACTAAGATTAGCTGACCTTGTAGTGTATAATATACTGAGATTAACTGATCTGGCAGTGTAAATTAAACCTAAATTAGCTGGTCTGGCAGTGTACAATATACAAAGATTAGCTGGTCTGGCAGTGTACAATATACAGAGGTTAGCTGGCCTGGCAGTGTATAATAAAGGGAGATGAGTTGTGTTGGGAGTTATTTAACAGGTGTTTTGCACAGCCTATGGTGGGATTGCCAGCAGTCAGACACAATATGTCTTTGCTCTTTGTGTCCCTTTGTGTGATTTTAATGCACATCATGTCGTTTACTTGACACAGGTTGTATGTTTGAAGTTAGAGTTAAAATGAGGTGGAAGTTGAAAGAGAAGTGAAATAAAATGAAAGGAGGGAGGTAGAGAGAGAATTAGCTCTCGATCCCTCCCGGTGCATACTAATGAGAGCCCTATTGTAAAAGCCTCTTTGTGCAGCTTTGCAGCTCCATTCAGATCCTCTCCTACGGAATGTACAATGGTGCCAGTGTCTGCTCCCCTAAAACAGTCACAAGCTTTCACTACCTTCCTCCTCCTTTTTG